ACTGCTGTGGCTTGTCAAAATTGTGTTGGAATACTTGGAAGAGATTCTATATACTGATTTGATTAACTTATTGATTTTTGTTTGAAAAAGTTTGAGGATTGACTTATTGAGAAAAAAAGAAAGTAAGAAGTATTCGAATTTTTCTATAACAATCCAATCAATAATTTGTTGCTTAATTTCTTCTTTTCACTTGCATTTAAAAAGTTCCTCAATAATTTGTGATACTGTTTAAATAAATACTTTTCTGTTGGATTTTTGTAAGTTTCTTGGTAAGATTAGGGTTCCAAGATATTTGATACTTTCATATAATTAAAAATATAAGTTTTTTTATAAGTCTTTGTATATAAATAGAAAAAAAAATTTTACTATATAAAATTTTTTTAAAAAAACTATTTACAGTAGGTGTTATAAATATCCAGAATTTTAATCTAGCATATTTAAAGTTATGTTATATGTCATTTTATAAAACAACAAACTATATAACATAAATTTTAATTAAAGTAAGAATATGTTTACATGACTTGTATTTAAAAAAAATTTTTTTTATAGCTATTAAAAAAAAATTGATGTAAATGTTATCTTTATCGAAGCCCGAAACACAAAGAACAGTCATAAGTCAGCTTTGGGCAGATAATGTCTGAAAACCTGCAAAAATAATTCATATAACAGGTTATCCAAAGTTCACAATATATGATATAATCAATTAAATTAAAAAAAGATCTTTTGTTATACTACTTTCTATATCTGGAAGACTCCAATTCTCACACCCACAACTTCGTCACCTTGGTCAGATTATGCAGATCAATAAAGTTGCTACTGTAGTTGAAATAGTCAAAAGACTTGTCCTCAAAAATCCCACCTGAAGGTTTCTGTTCATACCATTCAACATATATTAAAACAAGCTCTTCAGTTTGTCATTTGTCATCTGGTTGCCATTTCTCTTCTCCAGCTCATCACATCGCCGCTTGTCTTGAATAAGCTCAAGATTATATTGACCATAACTGGCACTACATGATTTTTTCTGACGAAACGATCTTTCAAATATTTAGAAATACATAGTTAGTAAGATATTGTTGTGGGGAGTTGTAACCACACCAAAGTATGATAAAACATTCCTACAAAGTTCATGCTTGGGGTATATTTTTGGTATGAGGCTTGATCATGCTAGTTTTATTCACAGAAAATTTTAATTCTACTAAATACCAAGAAATTCTTGAAACTTATTTTTTTCCTTAATTTTTTAAGTTAGCTTGCCGCAGGTTTTATTTTTAACAGGATAATTCTTCTGTTCATAATTCAAAAAAACATGTTATCTTTTCAAAGACCAAGGCATCTGAATTCTCAATTGATCTGCCTATTCATCTGACCTAAACCCAATCAAGAATTTATGGGCAATACTTAAGAGCAAGATCGAAAAAGAATCAAACTTACGTCTAATAAAAAAAAAAAATCTTTCGAATAATATTTTTCAGCAAATTATCCATCAGGCATGAGATGAATTAGATAAAGACCTATTTCTTACATTAGTGATGAGTATGGAAAATTATGTTTTAGAGATGATTGATCGAGAGAGGGGGAAGCTAGATAATTAAAAGAATTTTTTTTAATTAATAATCATATTTGATTATATATATATGAAGTTTCAATGATGATTAATAAAAAAAAAATTTTTTTACTTATTATAAAAAATTTCAGATATTTATGATGCCTACTGTAATTAATAAAAAATTCTAAAAAAGTTTTTTGTAATATACAAATTAATTTTTAAAAAAAATAGAAATTTGATTTTAATATAAATTTTGAAAAAATCTTATATTTATATTAAATTTTGATAAATTTTTTTAATTAAAAAAAATCAAATAAGCAATTTAAAATTTAATAAAAATTATTTTTTAATTAATTTTTAATTAATTTTGTTCTTTTTACAAATTGATGAATTAAAATTATTATAAATAATTTATTTATTTATTTATTATAATTTAATTAAATCAATTAAAAAAAACTCTTTCATATTTTTCTTAATTTTTGAAAAACTTTTTTTTTAAGAAATTTTAACAAAACAAGAAAGAGAGAACTTGTCAAATTAAATTTTCTTCAAAGAAACTTTTTCTCTTTCTTTATCACTATTGAGAATAAAAACTTTTTTCTAGAGAAGACTTCTGATTGTTTACTAGTTTCTCTTTTTTAAGATGAAAAGTTATCTCTATCAAAATCAATACAATAAACTTATTACACTTCAAGTTCTACTACACATAAATCAATTTTAAGAATTTAATTGAAAATACTCAAGCTGCATAAGGATAAGACTCTTGGTCAAATTTATCAAGACTTGAGAACCTTGATAATAAAAGTTACATAGAAAAAGATTTTTGATTTAATTTCTTTTTTTGTTTACATATGTGGATATAAAAAAACTGAAATTAGTTTATTCCTTTCAAAAAATCGATAAATTCTTTTTCACCAATTACATCTTATAAAAATTAGATTATCCATGATCAACATTACAATAATAATAATAACAACAATAACAAAACAATAACAATAACAATAATATGTTATATATTAATAATTAATTTATAATTTTAAAAAGATCAATAATGAGAACACTAATGTATAGTACTTTCATAACTTTTAAATAGAATATTGCATATGTAGGAGTTGTGCCCTGCTTGACATTTTTGCCTCTAGATTTGACAACCTAATTCAACTGAATTCTTTGGAATATCTACTAGAAGATTTTGGAATTGCATTTTACTTGGCTATATAGCTTCTAGATTTGGTAATTTGTGTCAATCAAAGATTACAGTTTCAGAGTATTTATTAGAAAATATATATTTATATTTAAATCTTCTCTAAACCTATAACTGTATAAGTAAAAGTTGTAATATAAAGAGTTATTTATTAATTATTAATATATATCAAATTAAATTGTTTTTTTTCTTCTATCAATATTTTCAAGTAAAGACCTTAGTTACTCAGCACTATCTTAGATATATAATAGTTTTAATATTTGTTTTTCTTACTGTTTAGATAGTTATAAATAGTAAGTGAGCTAGTATTAAATTCACCAATCAATTGATTACATAAGAAATGTTATTATTATCTTTTTATAATAATTTTTTAATTTTACAATTTAATAAAGTGACATTGTTTTTCTACTTTAAAAAAAAAAAATTATGTAATTAAATCAATATATTTTAAAAATTTTTGTTTTAATATAACAATAAATTTCAATAAATTTCAATAATATATTAATAAAAACCTATTAAATAAATTTGTTTTTTATATTATTATTAATATATATTTGAATTTTTATTTTATTTTATCAATTATTTATTGAATTGTAAATAAAAATATAAATTAAAAATTTGTTTAAAAACTTTTTAGACAAACGATATATAGGATTGAATAGGTTTTTATTTATAATATTATTTATATTGATTTTTAATAAATATAATAAATATATTCTAATAATTTATAAAATATAATTGGTTGAAAAAAATATATTGATTAGTTATTAAAAACAAACTGATTTTAATTTTTTTGTAAACAAAATTTTTAAACAAATTTTTTTAAAATTTTGTAATATAATAAGATATATAAACTATTGTTAAAATGTATAAATAATTTTTCAAATCATTTGAAAAAACAAATATAAAATATAAAATATGTTGATAGCTTTTTTAATTATTAAAAAACAAAAGTATATACTGTAATTAATTAAAGGATTTGAAAAATAAATAAAAGTAAAAATAAAAAGAACTTCAAGAAAAGTTTAAAAAAAAATACTTCTTTAGTGTTTTGAAATTCTTGTAAAGATAAAGTAATATGAAAAAAGTTTGAAAAGTGAAAAGTAAAAAAAATTTTAGTTTTTTCAATTTTGAAAAAATAATTACGTATTTAAAAAGAATTTTATGAAGTAATATATGGAAAAATGTTTTTTTTTTGAAGCTTTTTTCATTAAATCAATTATTATTTATATATTATTATATTTTAAAAATTTAATATCAATAAAATTTTCAAGGCAAAGTCTTTGACGTCTAGTCTTGAAAGGGAGCAACTTTTTCATTCCCGATGATCACATCTAGAGAGTTTAGATTTAGAAAGTCTAAGATAGTTAATACCACGCAGTAATAGCTTAATGAACCTACTCCCTTGTAGTGAAATAGTTAGTAAATAGCTAGATCATGTGGGCAACACGGTGGTCTTGGTATTAAGGATTCAAGGATCACGTACAAATCTAAATTCATTGACGAGTGTTCTGCAATTAAGTGATAGTTTAGCTTTAGTATAGTAATATGTATTGTACTACTGTTTTCCAAAATTGGATGAATAAACACAACTCTTGCAGTCTGATTAGAGGCAAAAAAAAAATTAATATCAATAAAATTTTCTTGATATGATATACTATATATAATTATTTACTCTTGAAAATTCAATACAGTATATAATTAATAAATAAAACAGATACGTAAATGTATGGATAATTATTTTTGAAAATGATTTGTGATCCTAAAATTTGTATCATATCATATTTAAAAATGGGATCCGAGAAATCATATTCAACATTTTTGCCGCCTTCAATATTATTTTAACAAATAATTAAAAAAATGTGCCTGAAATAATTGCGACAATAATAATAATTCAACCATCTATGGAAATGAAGGTCGACCACTAACATATTTTAACATGTTCATTTAACGATTAGCCTATATTAGGTTTAAACTCGTACTGGGCGTTAATTAGAACAGTTTTTTATTGGAATTCAAAAAAAAAAAAAATTATTAGATGATATTTAACAGACAATGCCTTTTATTTTTATTATTGAATTGCCTGTTTATGAAATTAAACCCAAAGAGAAAAGGTATATGAATATAAGAAGATGGGAAGGAAAAATTGATGGCAGATTAATTAAAAACTCACAATAGTTTTCCTTATATGTACACAGATCTGGTGTTCCACCAGTAAAGATCGTAAATCGACTTCTAAAAAGCTTTACATTAAAATTCTAAAGGAAAATACATTGGAACATTCAAAGGGACCATCAAAAGATAAACCTCCGGTTTCATACTACAATCTATAGACATTAAATAAGGATTAGTACTTCGTGCTATCATAATGAATAAGCTCAAGTCACAATTAACGTTACGCTTTACTTACGCAGTTCCACGCTCAAAGTTTTCTTTGATCTCTTGAGTGTATTTATCATAAAATCTGCCGATTTTCTCATTAAATTTCCTATTTCGCTCGTTGATATACGTAATATCATCATCTTCGTTAACGGCTTTTTGGCGCGAAAATTTCTCACGTCTGTCAATTCTATTCAATGACATTATGAAAATGAGGTAATTTACCAATTAGAAACCAGAAAAGCACAATCCTCTCTTACTTACTGCTTTTCAACATCATTCACGAGGCGATCAATCGCTTCTCGACTAGGTTGATCGTCCACACTCGCATATTGCAGGGAATTTGCGTCTCTGTAAAAGCTGGATTCTGCGTCAATAGGAACAACTTCACCGTCTTCAGTAGTGACAAGGCTCGCAGATGCCCTTGCGGTTTCCTTTTTTGCATTGTATGAAGCGAGATCAGGAGTAAAATCATTGATCATTCTCTTATATTTTTTGTGGGCAACCTGATTATAATCTTAATTATGAAGAGACATTATAATTAATTAATTATTTAATGATCATAATATTGCAAAGGATGCCATTGAAGTGAAAATAATAAAGAATTAAATACCAGTGAATGCAATATCGGACCGTTTCAATTTCTTTTCTTGCTTCTTTTCCCATTTTTCAACCGATTCTACAGAATAATTCCAAAATTGTTTACGTTCATAATCCTCCCCTTTTTCTTCGGCCTCCTGCAAGATATTAATTATAATAATTGAGATCAATTCCAACGCGCGTGAACCTTTAAATAAAATAATCCATAACATACCTGTCGAGCTAGCAATTTTTCCGCTTCCTCACGTTTACGTTCTTGCCGAATCTTGTCTCTTGGATTTATCTTTTTACGTTGATGCTCGTCGTAAAGTTCTTGCCTATTCGCTTGTTCGGCCTCATCCTAATTTTTAATGTCAATATCTTTTGTTGTCCAAAAGCTTCTGGAAGAAGAAACAAAAAAATTATCAAATACCTTTCTGCTACGTAGTTTTTGCAAGTGTTCAAATCGACTTTTCATCTTTTCTACGGGTGACGGTTTCTTTGAAGATTCTCGCTCACTATCATCTCCAGTAGTAACTATATCTTCACTAGTTACTTTCATTGTCTCACCTTGCTCTATACTTTTTGTATCTTTCTCACTTTCGACCATTTGAGAACTCTTTGTCGTATCTTCATATGATTGTTGCGGCTGGGAACTTGTATAATGGGATGCATCAATATTAGTTGCTCTTTCTGGTTCTTTAACTCTTTCTTCAAAGGTATTTCTGGTAGCATAATGTTCATCTGTACTAATCCCTTGCATCATGGTGTCACCAACAGATACAGACGCAAGTACATCAAGTGAGTTCCCATAATATTGTTGGAATTCTTCCTTCGGATAAGAGGTGTGTTGAATTACACCTTTATTAAATTGATGCTGCTGATTATTAGAGTAGGTGTTTTCGAAATGGGAGTCGTATTTCTCAGCACCAACCGAGGATGAATTCACCCATTTTTGATTGCTAACAGGATGCAAATCTTTTGATATCTCGCCGTGATCGATCTTTTCCGGCAGTTGATGAATCTGTGGACTATCTAACTTTTTATTTCTCTTTTTTGTAATCCCCGGAGATTTATTAGCAGCAAATGAGTCGCTCTGTCGATGGTTGGTAGATGCAGTTGAATGAATGTTTCCCTCTGAAAAAGACTCACCGTGAGTTGAATCGTTACTTTGTGTCACATCTTGTGAAAGATCATCTTTTTTGGGTCGTCCTCTGCGTTTCTTGGAAGAAGCGCTTTCTTCTTCCGCCGGCCTTTCCTCTCCGATGTGTACACTTTGAGTGCCCACAGGATATTCATCAGGCAAACTCTGTTCCACCTTCCGAGGACGACCTCTTTTTGATGAAGGAGCTCTTTGTAAATGTTCTTCAGCATGTGCAGTTGTAGTATCGTGTTCTTTGGAAAGAACAGTCGAAAAAGTTTCAGGTTCATTACTAGTTGGAATAATTTCAGGATTCTTTTCTTTTCGTGGGCGACCTCTCTTAGATGTCGAGATCTTTTGTGTGTGTTCATCTGACTCATTTACTAAATTAGAAGATGTATTGGTGTCATCATGAGAAGTAAGCTCCGGTACTTTCTCTTTACGCGGACGACCTCTTTTAGTAGAAGAGGCCTTTTGTGCATTATCATCATCATGTATGCTCGTGTCATCTTTATTATCTAAAGCTGATGATGATGCGTTTAATTGGGGATTGGCAACCTCAGTAACTTTTGACTTCCTGGTCTTTGGAGTACGCGTTTTGGGTTTCATTTGAACATCAAATACTTGCTGAGCATTATTTATGACATTATCAAACTCATTTGGTTGTTGACTGCTCGAAATGGCGTCGTCAGTAATCGAATGTTCCTGAGGTAATTCTTGTTTTTTAGTTCTAGTTTTCCTTTGTTTCTTTACAGGCTGCTCTTGTGGAACCACAGTGGGTTCCTGTGATTCAATTTCCTTTTGGTTTGCGGTTGCAATGCTGCTATGTATAGTCGAATTATTCTCGTGGTGCATTGGTTGATCCATGAACTCCGCATTTTCAGGCTTCTTTACGGAAACCGCATTTGTAACATTGATAAACTGTGGAATTATCTGAGCGGTTTCGGGCTCTTGTGGAGTGTGTATTAACAGATTATTAATGGATAATGGATCGGGATTTGCATTTTGTTTTTTGGTTCTAGGTTTACGTGGTTTTTTTTCGGGTGTTGCAATAACATCGGGGGCAAATGAAGGTGTTTCTGGCTCTTGGTGAGTGTGTATTAACAGATTTTCGATAGAAAGTGGGTCACGATGAACTTCTGGTACTTCTTGTTTTACTTCTTGTTTCTTGGTTCGAGGCTTTCTGGGTTTCTTAACCGGCGGCGGTTCCTGGGACGTGTTAGCAGGAATCTGCGTGCTCGAAGATGGTTCACCCTCTGATTGAGGCAAAGAAGTTTCGGGGACTGCAGGTTTCTGAGATAACGCTTGTTTTTTGGTCCTAGGCTTTCTAGTAGTAGTTTTCTTCGTCGGCTCTACAGGAGAATTATTGACGGGAACATCCGCAGTCGGTACATCAAAGACATTGTCTATTACTTGTTTTGGTTTTTTGGGGCTTGATACCTCCTGGACTGGCACCTCAGAGGCTGGCTTTCTTTTTGGCATATTTTTTCTGACAGCTGAGAAAACAATTATCGAATAAAAAAAAAAAAAAATCTGATTAAAAAAAAAAAAACATTATGTACATACGTATTTACATGAATTCAAATGATGCACGTGACCCTAGATTTTTTTCTACCTGATAAAATTTTTTACGAGAATGCTTTTCAATGGAAACGGAATAAACAAATAATCAATAGGAATGTCCGAATCAGTGAATGAAAGTGACAGTGATTCCACAAAGAATTCCACATTCAAGTCACTTGTAAGTAATGCCACGGGATTCTTTTGTTGATCGAAAGCATTTTATTTTCATGTTTGATTAAACGCACTCTACGAGATAGGGTATTCTCGAATCTTTGTGTCAAGCCTGTGAAAAACTTCAGTATAAAACACCAACCGAAATTCAAGCAGAAGCTATTCCATGGGCTTTACAAGGTAAGAATTGCTTGTTCTTTTTCTTCGTAACTTTATACTTTACGTAAATTCATTAGCATTCTGTATACTTTAGGTCGAGATGTTATCGGTTTGGCACAGACTGGATCCGGAAAAACCGCAGCTTTTGCTTTGCCCATCCTTCAAGCGTTATGGGAAGCACCTCAAGGACTGTTTGCTTGTGTTTTGGTACCTACGAGGTATTCTCAAGGGCAATAATTTATGGGAGTGAGGTTTTCGTATTTGAGAGGTGTTAAATTCGACTCATTTGACAATAAAGAGAATTAGCATATCAGATATCCGAAACATTTGAATCCTTGGGATCGGTAATTGGCGTTCGGTGTGTTGTCATAGTTGGAGGAATGGACATGATGTCGCAGGCCATCGCCTTATCCAAAAAACCACATATCGTTATAGCCACTCCCGGAAGATTGCAAGATCATTTGGAAAATACCAAAGGATTCAGCCTGAGAAACATAAAGTACTTGGTAAGGTTCGCCATTGATTCATTACAAAGCAATAAATATTACGTATCACCTGATACAAGTACCATTCTAAGGTTATGGACGAGGCGGATAAACTTTTGGACATGGACTTCGGGCCCGTCATCGACAAGATATTAAAGGTGATTCCCAAAGAACGTCACACATACCTCTTTTCAGCCACGATGACCACAAAGGTAGCAAAGTTACAACGCGCATCGTTGAACAATCCCGTCAAGGTTGAAGTTTCTTCAAAGTAAGAAATCATGTATTGTTACTATCATAGTTTCACTCTATACGATTTTATTTTGAAGAAATTGAGTCATTAAAGATTTTCACTTCCCCACCCCTCCCCCACAGGTATTCCACTGTGTCAACCCTTTTGCAGTATTATCTTTTTTTTCCCTTCAAGCACAAGGACTGTTATCTCGTATTTTTATGCAATGAGCTTGCCGGAAATTCGATAATAATTTTTACTAGAACATGTAACGACACGCAACGTCTAGCCCTCATATTAAGGAATCTCGGTTTTCCCGCGATCATGTTACACGGACAACTTTCTCAATCCAAAAGATTGGGCTCCTTGAACAAATTCAAGGCTGGAAATAGGAATATTTTGGTGGCTACTGATGTCGCTAGCAGGTAACCATAACTCGTTTTCATGTTCCACCTTCATGATCTACTCGCTATAAATATCAATGTGTCACGTAGGGGGCTCGACATACCACTCGTAGATGTCGTGATCAATTATGACATTCCTTCTAACAGCAAAGATTACATTCATCGAGTGGGACGTACGGCTCGCGCTGGAAGATCAGGCAAATCCATTACGCTGGTCACTCAATATGATGTTGAATTGTGTCAACGTATCGAGCAGGTAATCGGAAGGAGAATGGAATTATTTCCAATCGACAGTAAAGAGGATGTAATGTTGCTTCAGGAACGTGTATCCGAAGCACAACGAATTGCCACCCTGGAAATGAAGGAAGAAAATCAGAAGGGGAGTAAAAGGGTAAAAAGTGAGGGTAATGATGACCATAGGGACAGAGAAGATCGAGATCTCATTGAATCCAACAGGTTGGCCAAAAAAGCAAAAAGGGCGAGAAGGTAAAAAATTATTAAAGGATCGACCTATGCGTCGTTTCTCCGAAACCACATGATCTCGTGAACACCGCTTCATTATTGGACACCGTTCGATCAAAAACGTCGTATCGTATGTTAGTAAATTTGGTGTTACATGATTTGGTTTCGTGTCTCAGAAATTTCCAAAAATTATTCTCTTAAGAAGTTTCGGTTTGGCAAATGAAAAAAAAAAAAAAAAGACATGCTGATAAGAATAAATGTAATGGATGCGATCTGGCCTGCCTTATGATGATAATTCAAAAGATTTTGGCGTGGAGATATCAAACTCAAATATAAACGTTTCACCTTATGCATGAACTATTATTATCTCTAATTGCATATCAAAATCATCAATATTTAAGAATGGGATTCAACCATCCAGTGTGGATTGTATATATTGTACCACTTGGTTATGATTTGTCCGCTCAAAATTAGTTTAATACGTCACGATTAAATCTTGCACCACTTAGTTTCCATTCTTCTTTCGCTTGACCAAGTAGACTCGGTTACTATTGTCATTATCATTATTTTATTTATATATAACCAGTATTATATCGTTCTGCCAACGGGAGATACGATATCTTCTCTTGTCAAGTCTCCGGAAGCAAAGGATAATAATTATTGCAGTGTTTACAAGAATTACTATTTCAATATTTCAATAACAGATTCTTGTGTTCAATTCGTAATATAGGCACCGCCTTGACAGTGGAACAATAATGAAGCTTGATTGCTTCGTTATTTTTTTTTTCTCGGCGACCTTTGCCGTTTTGACTGCAGCTCCCATATATTCATTGCCTATTGCACAAAATCCTCGAGCTCAAGATCTTGACGAGCCACACTCAAATGAACGTCATACAATCACTGTCATTACCGTTGTTACACCTACACCCGCACCTCAAACCAAGACCAACATTCTAAATCCTGAAACAACTGGGAAAGCCGATGGCTCAAAGAAAAGCGTAGCCGAAGACGCTCGATCAGAAACTAATTATAATGAAATTGAAGAAGCAAAATTGCAAGAAGAGGCAGCAACTCTTCATCGAGTAATAGTCGTACTTTGTTCACTAGGAGCATCACTTTTTTTAGTGGCAATAGCGATAGCAGTTTTATATTGGAAACTTCGTAAGCAACAGAAGCAGAATGAATTAAATGTGAGGTTAATTAGAGATGGAGGATATGTGTTAACAACACCCTCGAAAGGACTGGATCCAAAAGATACAGATGGTGACGGTGATGGCGATGTAGTCATTAATGGAACGGCTAATGTTGACGACGTAATAGACAATGTAAAGGACGACGTAATAGACAATGGAAGGGACGATGTCCCATCGATGACAGAGAGGCTATCGTGTCCTCCAAAAGTTTACCATGAAGACGACGATGAATTTTGTCAATGCTCGGAGCCAATCAAAGTACCTATTACACCACACCTTTCAATAAGGGCCACCGCGCCACCTGCCGAAACATTTGCTGATGACTCTGATCACGGTGATGTCATCAGAGATATAAGTTTTTCTGCACCTCCAATGTCTTTACCTCCTCCTGCCTACGCGCCAACTGCACCACCAATAGACTTTGGCGATGTTTCAATAGGAGATATGGTGTTACGCGATAGCTATAATATGCAACCTGCTATAATACGAATGGAAATAATACATTTACCCTTGGATTCTCTGGCACAATCAAACATTACAACTTTTCAATCCTCGGGTCCAGCATCGACATCAGAGGAACAAGAACAGACACATACTTCCCAATCGTCTACGAGACTGATCCTCCCAACCAATAGAATTGAACAATCATCAAACGACATTTTATCACATCGCCGCTACAACTCATCCTGATATGTAGGCTGGACAAGTTTGTTTAAGCTTAAATGCACCATCCTGACACCTACTCCAATTGAGGCTTATTATCCTTTGTAGCCGTCGTGTTAAAGTTGGGTAATAATGAAATTTCGTCAATCCCTTCTGGAAAATGTCGTTGTGTCTTTCTCAACAAGTTCTCCGTAGAGAAATGTGTATCAATGATTCGGGAATTGAGTAACGAATGAGCCGAGAAAAAAGCATGACTACATTGTTATACTACTAGACCGACCAACAGTTATCTAGTATACACCCGAAGTGTATTGATTTAGTTTTTCAAAGATGTTACTTTCAAAGAACTTAATATGTTCTTACAACCATCCATATTTTTATTTATTTATTCTTGATCGAAAAAAAAAAAAAATCTTTTTGTAGATATCATGTTTCCTTTTACCACAGTTACTTATTTGAAATTGTAGAGATGAAAAAATTGGCGTGGTTATGGTTGGTGAGGACGATAGATTGATGCATATATAATTTATCTAATGTAATTTTTTGCCCCATGCATATTCCCTTTTTCCGCACTAACCTGACCGATGTCGAAATTCCTAAAAATTTCCTTTGTACATAGATCACATATGCTCATATCTTGTTGTAGAAAAAAAAATTTTTTTCTTTTGATCACATCTATTCCTCTATATTTGACTTATTATTGTCTTCCTACTATTTTTAAGATGAATTCCGTCGCCCACATAATAGTAATACTCAAACTAATTTTTCGTTTCTTACAAAAAATTCGAATAAATCAAAGAAATTGTTAATTAGTAAATGTCAAAACCCATTCATTAGATTTATGTACTGGATATGTTTATTATATATCGTTTGAAATTCACTTCCTAATTTGGCAATAGAAACCTCACTATAAGCGTATGTAACCCGGAATCTTGTTCAATGCGCTAGTCCCACACACCTTAAACTGTGAAACGGATTTTCAAATTTAAAAATGTGATTATCTTATAGCCGTAATAACCGAATTGGCATTAAAAATGAAGGTTAATGAAATTGACAGCATTAATTTTTCCTCATAAATGAATTTATTACGACTGACAAATAAAAAAAATAATTTTTGTTAGCGAAGCGTATCGCGTTAACATGTTACACGGGATACGGACATTAATACATATATATACATTTTTTAATAAATTTGTTCATTTATACGGCATATAAAGTTTGCTAATAATTAATTAACCTGAAAAAAATTATTTGTTTCTATGTAGTATATACAGTATACATATTATGGCTGACCCGATTAATTCAAGTCATCACCAAATCCGGCAAGGTAGTGTTGTCTTCGCCAAATTATCTATATGATCTTATGAATAAGATAAATAAAATAATCGATCTTCTTCATTACCCCATTTTCTTTTTTCCCATTACTTTATCAATCTTTTCTATTAGACAAGTAATCTCTTATTGAATGATAAATAAAAATAAACATTTGTTGGTGTGTTTGTTTGTTTTGATAACAATCTGGATTAACCTGCCATTTCAACAATTTCAATAATTTCAATAATTTCATTAGATTAGATTACAAATTGACAAATAAATCAGAAAGTTGAAAAAATTTTTACAAAAAATTATTGTTTTCTTGTTTGTTTTTTTTAAAAAAAAATTAATCAATTAAAATACAATATATATTGTATTAAATTGCAATCTAAATATATTATCATACTATAAAAATAAAATAAAACATATACGTATATAATTTTATAATTTTATATTTCTAATTTGATTACTTTTGCTTATAATAATTTGATATTAGACTTGTATAATATATTGTCAAAATTTATAATTGTTATATATATATTTAATAGTTGTTTGAAAATAGGATCTAAACTTGCAAATTATTAAAAATAAATTAAATATCTTTTAAGATATTCAAATTATTAAACATAATATAAATCTTATAATATAGTTACAATCAAAATTATTATGAAATTATTTTAAATAAATCAAATTTTCAATATTTTATTATTATTTTTTTTTATAATTAAACAAGTATATATACCTTTATTTATTTCTTTATTTTAATTATAAACAATTATTAAATACAAGACTTTTATTAAACAAGAATTTATAGTCATTATATTAAAAATCCTTATATATAATATAAATTAATCCTAACTTATCATTATATCTTATGGATAGATCTATACTAGATATATAATAAAAATTATTGAATTAAGTCAAATGCAATTAAAAATAAAAAATTTAATAATTAAGTTAAATTATATTTTTTTATAATTGATATAATTATTTTGATACAATTATTTTAATATAATTATTTTTATAAAAATTAAATTAATATTTAAAACTAAATTGATATAATTATTTTATTTAAAATTAAATTGACTTACTTGCTTTAGTTAAAATTAATTATTTTAAATTAAAATTAGATTAATATAATTATTTTTAATTTTTTAAAAAGATTTTTCTTATAAATAAACATTATTTCTTTATTTGATTTATATATAACAAGATATACATTATGAAAAAATCAATATTTTTTACATACAGTGTGATTCAAAATTTTTGATAAAAATTATTTATTTTTTTTTTTTTTTAACGTTGATAAACATCAGTTCTTTATTTTTTGTATATATTAAAATATAACTATGAGAAAGAACCTACATCTCTCACAATACATGAGTTAAATGCTAGCTTACCAACGATATCTATCTAAACTATATTAGAAAAGAAAATTTAAAACTAATATATTGTTTAGATAGTTGCACGACAGGCCATGCGATTTGTAAGAAAATGAAATAAAAGTAAAGTAAAAAAAATTCTAGTACATATTAATATTAAACAGAACTTTTCA